GTCCCAAACTGGTCCATACTGGTTCCGAACTGGTTCCAAACTGGTCCCAAACTGGTCCCAAACTGGTCCATACTGGTTCCGAACTGGTTCCAAACTGGTGCCAAACTGGTCCCAAACTGGTCCATACTGGTTCCAAACTGGTCCTTACTGGTGTCACACTGGTTCTTACTGTCCTAAACTGGTCCAAACTGGTCCGTGCTGGTCCCAAACTGGTCCAAACTGGTCGGTGCTGGTGCCAAACTGGTGCCAAACTGGTCCCAAAGTGGTCCATACTGGTCGGTGCTGGTGCCAAACTGGTCCAAACTGGTCCGAAGTGGTCCCGAACTGGTCCATACTGGTCCCAAACTGGTCCGCACTGGTGGCCCCGAGCACGCGCCGCCCCGCGCGCGCTCCCGCCACAAGCCCCGCCCCTCAAGCTCCCCCCCCGCTCAGCCTCCCCATTGGTCCATTCCCCAGTGACGTCACGTAACCACTCCCCCTCCACCGGCAGCTGACGGCCCTGCCGTTTAAGTCCCCGCCCCCAACCCAAATCCCGCCTTCCTATTGGCCGCCTCACCCTTCGCTCCTCCCTCCCCGCCCTCTCATTGGCTCCCCTCCTTCCCGCCCCTCCTCTCGCGCTCTCTGATTGGCTGCACCCTGTGAGGGGAAGCCGTGAGGGGAGGCCAAGATGGCGGCGGGGTGAGGCGGCGGCGATGGCGGCGATGTCCGGGGCGGAGGAGCGCGATGCCGGCGGCGGCCCCGCCGCTCCCTCCGCTCCTTCCGCGGCCCCTCCCGGCCCCGCAGCTCCGGCCGCGCTCGGCGGCGAAGGCGGCGGCGCCGAGGAAGCGGCGGCGCTGCTGTTGGAGGCGGGCGCGGATCCCGACGCGCCGCCCAAGAAGCGGCTGAGGACGGCCGGGAGCGGCGGCGGCGGCGCGGAGGGGGCGGCGGGCAGCGTGAAGCTGGAGGAGCGGCTCTACTCCGTGCTCTGCTGCACCGTGTGCCTCGATCTGCCCAAGGCTTCCGTCTATCAGGTACGGGGACAGCCTTGGGGACACGGCCGCGAGCGGCGGTGGCACCGGGACAGGGCCCGGGTGGCACCGGGACAGGGCCCTGGTGGCACCGGGACAGGGTTCGGGTGGCACCGGGACAGGGCCCGGGTGGCACCGGGACAGGGTTCGGGTGGCACCGGGACAGGGCTCGGGTGGCACCGGGACAGGGCCCGGGTGGCACCGGGACAGGGTGCGGGTGGTACCGGGACAGGGGTCGGGTGGCACCGGGACAGGGCTCGGG